CATGAAAAGCATGAGATGTTGATTCTTCTTTAGATCTTCAGTATAGTCTTTAGATCTTGACATGTGAAGAACCTTGCTCCTTTTGTTGAATGGTTTTGCTTGCATGAGCTTTGATCTTCTACATCCTTTCAAGGAAGTGGGACATCGGGGATACTTGAAAATTGCAGGGCCAAAGCTCCCGGGGGCACCGGTTAAGCCAGGTGAATCGACGGCAAAGAATGCCAATGTTCCGGCCAACATGAAATTTGCATGCATTTGCTGCCATCTACTTGTTCAGCAGCTATATAATTAATGTAGACTCTTGATTATCTTAGACTATATTGAAACAGGTGACAAGGCTGTACACTCCAAGTTGGAGGGTTCTTATTACTAATGCAGAGTCTGTTTTACAATATGAACCAAGCTCAGAACACCGCGGCACACTTATCGCAGTGCTGCGACCCGCTGCGCTCGAACCTTGCTCGCCCAGTGAGGCGAGCAAACCCAAGAGATGCAGCTTGGAAGCGGTGAAGATGGATGAAGATGGGTGCCAGGGACTTCACGCCCATGGTGCCAGAAGAAGAGGGAGACGTTTCACGGGTTCTCCTCTTGCAGCAAATCCTGCAGCTGATCCTCGAGGATCTCTAGGCAGCTGCGGGTTCCCGGGAAACGATGTTTGGAGCCAGGAATCCAGAATCCCTTGGGCAGCCCGTTGCAGGGAAACCAGTAGCAAAAGGGGGGTTGCCCAACCATTGGCCAATTCCAGTCATAGTTTCATGCCAGTTCTTTGCCGAGAGCAACACAAGATGAACCGATAGATATGGAGAAGCAAACCTTTCCAGCCACCTACCACGGAACGTGAGTCACAGTGGCATGGCATGGTTCCCTGGTTGATCTGGTTTTGTAGTGTAAAACCCTTAGTAAAACAATGGTTGTTCTGGATTCAGGCATTTAACATAAATAAATGGTGGTTCGACTTCTAGGGGTTCCTTTGGTTGAAGGACATATCGGTTTCCGTGTTGATCGATCCCTTCTCTCATGTGAGGTGAGGCAGGCTGATGGTATAGACCATGAGAAGTCTTGTGTTCAACACCTTGCTCGTTGTCCGGGCTTCTCCACTTCGTCACAGAACGCCACAGGTGACCATTTTGACAATGTTCTCATTCAGTGTCCAGGGTATCTGGTCACATCACCACAAGAACTTGAACGTCCTAGCTGGGCTGTCACAGACTCACGTAAGGGCTGGGTGCATGATTCTTGGGGAGGCTGGGGGTTTCAAGTGAGCCTGGCCTGTGGAGGGCGAGCGGATGGGACGGTGCCGAGCGGCGCCACCGAACCGAGGATTGCCAGCTGGTTCTTCCCACCGGAACCCAAGGCTGGCTGCCTGCAGAACGTGGTTTCGAACCCGTGGTTGGTGGATTGCTCAAAGAATATGGACTGCAAATATCCTTAGAACTTGCTGAGAATATTGATTGCCATGGAATGCAAGACCATAGTAGACCATTTTCCTCTAGAAAAAAGGGGTCCTGGTCAGCTTGATTTGGAGGGTAAGCAGAGCACCTGACCGGCCAGGTGGGCGACAAGCACGAAGGCTGGGTTTGGCTAGGTGACGGCTGGCATCCCTGCGGCATGGAGTCCAGCACCAGGCACAAGCGCAGGAGGTCAATTTTTGCCTGCCAAGGGCACCATCCTAAACCACTTACACGACATGGATCATACAATTACGTTTAAACCTGCGAGTTCATAACAGGTCCCCGTTCGAGGTCTACACTAGTTTCTTATAGATGTTTTTTCTTTGGGGGGGGCGGGGAGTCTCCATTAACCCCCGCGAGCAAGTGGGTGGAGGTTCATGGGCTCGAACGTCAGCGCCATCCAGGCTGCGGGGCTTTCCGGTTGACATGGTGTCTTTCCCGGATGCCCTCGCAGGCGATCGGAGGCTCGATCCTCGAACCTGGCGAGCCTGGCGTTCGCCCCGGACACGGACGCCTTGTACGACGGCCGCTTCCATAGCCGACGCTTTGGTGCTGGCACCAAGGCAGCTGGACGCATTCACCCGTGAATTCTCAGGGTCCGGCGGTGAATTCTCAGGGCCCGGGGAGGGGGCCGGAAGGGATGATGATGGACGTCGAGGACCTGGTCTCCTCGTGAAGTATGTGAAGCGAAGCGGGGAGGACGCCATACAGCCAGGAGTGAGGATGACGCCATGCAGCAATTCATGGACAAACAAAGCTATAAAATGCTATATGCCAGCACCACCGGGTGGTAGTATAGACGCTCCCTGCATGTTTTTTTCGTCAGCAACCCTTTGTGTGGTGCTATAGTAACTATAGTACATATATTCCTTCTCTCTCTCTCTCTCTGCATATGTTTTGTATAATATATATATATATAGAGTATATATTTATTAAAAACTATGCATTTACAAGCTAAATCTAGTAGCAATTACCATACAGTAGATACAGTAGTTTCCGTTGACTGGTCAGGGAGTTTCTGCTTGCATCCTGTATTGAGTTATGGAATTCAGCAAATCAACATCCTGAACCACATATGTTGGAATGAATCTTGCGCCAGGTCAATAGGAATCAGGTGTGTTTTCGACGGCATGCTTCAAAACCAAAGGTGACCGCGTCCAGCGACACCTCGTGTGACACGTCGTGTGACGTGTGACGTGTGTGACGGGCGGAGGTGTCAGAGGAGCTGGTCCTGGGTTCTACTGACCAGCTGCTCCCTTTGCTGCTGCTGCCCTTCGCGCGTCGTCCCTGGCCCTGGGCGGCGCCCAGTGAGATGGGTGGAGGTCCCACCGAATCATTTCATCACCCAGGACAAGACAAGTGGACAGCCTTTCATCTTTAGATTTGTTCTTCTCCACTACAAGAAGAGGTGGGATGGGGAACGGTTAACCTATTGATTAAGGTGGTTCATTGTCCAGGACGACGGGGTCGGTTGACCCCGCTCACCTCACCGACTCTCGCCCACGTGGGGACCGGTGCTCCGCGGGACCGGGGGGCTCCCACGAGGATGCCAAGTGGATGAGTGTGCTTCGACGAGGTCGAGCGTTGTTCGCTCCCAGAACGGCCAGGAAACAACCAGAGAAACCAAGATAGCTCCCAAAGCAAACGCCACGGCAAACAGAACCGGACCCTCAACCCAAACCAACCTGGACCATCTTCTTTGGGTGTAGGACTGTTGAGCCCACTGCTCTCCTGGATCTCCAGTCAGGACCCAGACAGGATGATCAAATTCATCTCGTGACTATCCAAGAGAGGGGTGTGGGCTCGAGCGACCTGACAGTCCGCAAGTTCGTGCATCCAAGAGAGGGGCACCCTCCAACAGATCACCAACTGAGACCTCTTAGGGTCCAACTAGTTTGGAGACCTGATGTGCAAAAATCACCCAAACAACACAGGGGCTGGTCATGGAAAACCGCCTCTCTCGGATCCGGATGCCGAACCCCAAGGCCAGCAGAACTCCACCTCGCGCACGCCCTTGCCACCGCTGCCTGGCCTGGGTCCGCGTGGCAAGCGCTTGCGAGTGCTTTGCGGCTCCAACGTCCACGTGCCACGCGGCGCAAGAGGTGAGGAGGAGGCAAGGAACACAGAGGCTTGGGCCCAGAAATGTACAGACGAACAGGAGACAGAAGACAGATAGGCAGCTATATACTAACCCTAGCCTTCAAAGACCAAAGAAGAATGGTTGACCTGGTGGTGTAGGCGGACCTGTAGTCACTGTAGTCAGGTTGATCGATGGATGGATGGATCGATATTTTGACGGGTAGTATAATATATATGTAGTAGGTAGAAACACGCTCCGGTCGATCCATGTGAACCAAAAAGGGCAATCAACTTCAGGATATGTTTTCAACCCAGCAGGACCTGAAGTCGGGCCACTCCTTTCAGTGCCCAAACATGGGTGGCCAACTCAAGTCGGGTTGCCAGACCTCGACGGCATAGAACCGGCCAACTCTGGTCACCGCCATGAAGCACCTCCCCGAGCACCGGCCCCTCTGTGTGTACCTCGCACAGAACGGCAGCGAGGTATCCCAGCGACCCGCTGCCGGAGAAGCAGCTGCTGTGCTCCAAGGTCTTGGCAGATGAGCAGATGGACCTTTGGGCAGTGCACGTGCCGACGAGCATAGGCACATGCCAAGCACGCACGTGCTTTTCCATGCACGGGCGGAGGGTTTGTCAGTCGCAGGAACCGGCGGTTCTGTTTCTATTCCCACGGAACATGAAGTGGAAAGACGACCTACAGCAGGTCGACCTACAAGGGTGAAACGGGCGGCTTTTGACCCACTGAGTATGGATCCCTGGAGTCGGGGGGGTGGACATCGGGTGGCGACACACGCAGATTGACCACAGCGTCGAGGTGTCAAGCGAACACAGGATTGAAGATGTCGTAGATGTTTGGCACGGAAACGTGTCAGACAAGAGGTTGGTTGATCAATCCAAAGTTTCAGCACGCCCCGCTGGCTGTCACAGTTGATTGTGGCATGTGACGTGAGGCTCCAAGAAGGGCGCAAAGAGCTTGACGCTGAGCTGCGGCATGAGCTTTGTTAAATAAGTTAAATATTTATATAACAATATTTAACCCTTGTGCCACCAACGCAAAGAACATTGCCTTTTCCTCTCAAAACATCTCAAAACCATGGTTGCAGTATATGGTATACAACAAACGCAGACACATCGAAAACCATCCTCCCCTTCCCATACACACACAAATCTTAGGAATAGCATCTTCCTGGTAGACGAAGCCTTATCCACTGAGTTCCAGTCCGAGGCTGGGGAGGCACTCGTGCCGTGCCTTTGAGTGGTCGGATGTGGTTGGATTGTCAGTCCTTGTAGGCACCACTGCGCCGATATGGGGGGTTCCCCAGCAAGACATGGTTTCCCCAGCAAGACATGGCTAGTTGGAAAGGTGGGTCGACAGGCAGGTCCCTTGATGTGTCCGCCTTCCGGTTGTTCTGAGTGGGCAGCTGCATGTGCTTCGATTCTCTCCTGATTTTGGTTGGACCAAAGAATCCTGTGTCTTTCTCAACATGTGAGGGGTCCCGAAATAGATAGAAACGGTTTCCAATTACAGTTTGAGTGGGGATCTACTTTTCATTACTTTTCTATCTATTTTGTAGGGTGAGTCCAGAGGGGCCCAAAAGTTTGTCACGAATGTCCAAGCAGGGTTGAAGAACACGTTGGTTTCAAGCGGGAACGGATCCACAGGCACTTCGCTGCGCAAAGTGCGAGTCGCTGACCAGGTGAGCAGCCTGATCAGTTGCTTGAGCGGGCAGTTGCAGGTGGGGCATGCGACACTCACATCACATGTCGCGAAATGTATGTGGACAACAGACAACTGGCTAGGACAGGCCCAAGGGATTTCGAGGCGAAAGAAGTCAGAAGTGCGACAAATACATGTGTGTCCTCAAGCTGTTTGAGGTCTGTGACTGCCAGCAACCAGACCATCACAGTTTACTGCATCAGACTTTCAACCCTATCATACCACATCATCAGTTCATATTCACTCAGAATCGGTTCCGGCGGGCATCAGGACTTTATGAGGTCTCAAGACCTGACATCTCACTTGGCCAGGGCCAGGCCTGTGGGGCCAGCTTCAACTGCGGGGGTATTAACCCCACCACTTGCCACTTTGGCAGAGCCATGCGGAGCGCGGAGTGACCGAAGGCTATGGGATCAGTCTATAGGCCTCCGACTCTGGTGGGCACAAATAGGACTGGCAGGCAGGTCTATAGTGTGATTGTACCGGAGATGAGCGAAAGGACTAGACCACGAAGTGTGGAACACTTGGGTTGGTGACCTGTCTTTTTTTGCCTCGCCATTCCTGGCTTCCAGGAGCTCCATTCCTGGCTCCCAGAACCTGGGTGTCACTCCAGTTGCAACTCCTCACTTCGCTCCGTTGGTTGGGATCCCGAAAAAGGGGGTCCGCTTCTCGAAAGCGGAGACGACGCGACACTCACGCGCTCGGCACTCGCCGAGGCGTTCCCTTCCTGCCGTGCGAGACCTTCCGGGCCAGCTTTCTGCCGCGTTGGGCGAGCGCGGCGAGCGCCGCGAGCGCAGCGCCAGGCAGGAGGGGAAGGGACGGCGGATGCGGCCAAGGTCGATGCCCAAGCGGGAATTTGGGGGTTGAGTCGGCCTAATAAATCAACCGGCGGTTGGGGGGGAGCTAGGGGAGAAGCGTCGAAAAAGTTCAATCCTGTCGATCTCAAAGATATGTTCATTGAAGGACAGCCGGACCGCCTGTGGGGACCATCAAAGCCATCGAGGTGCACAGCTCTGTTAGTCTTCATGGCAGTTTTTTTGGGGGGAAGGGAGCATGAGGAGGCGGACGCCAACTTCATCCCAGAAGTGCTTCGGAAGCTCGGCTCTCCGGTGGGCCGACGGATTCCAGGCGGTTCTTTGGGCGATTTGGCTGGGGCGGTGGAATATGCCGTGGAGGTGGCGATTGGGAAGTTGGTGAAGGACCTGAGACTCACATGGGAGGAGGCTCTCAGGGCGTGGAAAGATGGAGAGATGAATCAGGGATTGGTGGCGCAAGGATCCGGCAGGATTCTGCAGGTAGCAGTGGGCAATGACGACATATTCTCTCATATGGGGTTGAGTCCCTCCGGAGGTCCGCGAGCCCCTCCAGGGGTCCCCGGGTGGTTGATGGGTGGATGAATGGGTTTCAATATGTTTCAATCCTAAGTAAGTCACGCGCTCAAGGACACGGAGCGGATCCTGCAGCAGAATGCTTCCTGCTGGGCACTCCTGCGTGAAGGTCTTCACCTCGAAAGCAAGGAAGGCCCCAGCTGCCTGATACGAGAGGCGGGCTGGAGTAGGGGCTCTTGGAGATGTCCATGGTCCTAAAAAAACAGGCTGTTTTGCTGCTTCTTCATCTCCTCCAAAGCATTCAAAGAGTGCTTGTTTGATGTGTATCATGTGTCGCCCAGGTACTCGTAGGTAAGGTACCACCCCCGCAAGAAAAACCTTGGTGCTCACCCCCCGAATCAGCATGTTCAACCCAAACAGCTTTGGAATCCAGAGCTTCTGAGGGGGGACGAGGTGTGTCGCACCAGGTGACCTCTGACGCCTCCAGGTGACCTTTGACCGGCAGCAGCCCATCAGCCTGGAGGCCGGCGGCCCTTTGTCTCTGAAGTTGGCTTGGCCGCAGGGCTTGCCAGCTAAGCGATGATGTGGAAGTGCTGGAAGTGCGGGGGGGAAACTCTGGCTGTAGCTAAGTGCTCAGTGTCGGCGTTGCTAAGGGATGGAAGTGTCACCTTTGTTCCATTGGGGGGAGAATATCCGGCTAAGTGACGCCAAGTGCCAAGTGCTGGTTGGCAGGGCCCATGCTTGGCTGAGTCCTAAGATCAGGAAGTTGAGGATCTCATGGTGAAGGTGATGCACTACCTAAACAAGAAGACATGCAGTGCGCACCACATACGTTCACGATGCTTTCGTCTTGACATTTCATCCACCCCAGTGCCATTTCGAACCAGCAGTGTCAGACGCGTGCCCCCAATATTTTGGATGTTTGGATGTTTGAGAGAGATCAATCAACGATCGAATCCATGGTGCCTTTGAAAGCTGGACCTTCGCCCGCCTTATTACTTTTGACTGTGCACCTGGCTGACAGGTCGAGTGGAAACCCCATGGCAAGCGACAGTCCTCCACCAAGTTGCGCACAGTGACTGACGCGAATGATCCTTCACTACGACTAAGCCGGTTCGGTGCGTTCGGTTCGCGGCTCGCAGCGGCAGCGGGGTTCGGCTCGCTGCGGTGTGTGTGTGTGTGTGTGTTTGAGTTCTTCCCACCTCTTCCCAACAGCTCGGAGGGAGCCGTTCAGAGCGACGGTGAGCTCCAGAACCGCCAGACATTTGAATAGGGGGTCCCGTTTTTCTTCGCACCCACAGACTGGGGCAGACTTGGTCTATTTCCCGCCACCGTTTGCCTGGGGGTCGTTGCCTGGGGGAGAACCCGTAGTTTGGTCACACACCCATATATCATATCACTGTACTATTATTACTATTGTTATATCTATCATATTATCGGTGAATTCAACTCCAATTGACCGGGCCGACGCGAGCTGACCACAGTCAGCCGAGACATGCGCTTCACCACGGGTGGGTCAGCTCAACCACGACCAGTCAGACCACATTTTTGATTTCATCAGGCTGACTTTGTGTTTTTGGAGCGCCAAACATCGGACGTTCACGTGTGGACCCTGGCAACTTCACCGTCAGCCAGAGCAAGACACACACACATAGAGAATTCATGATGGAACCAAAAGGCTTCATCTACAGTGGGAGCTTATATAGATACATGCTGATACATGTTTTTAATAACAATATGACATATTGTGAATGTAGTGTTTATAGCTCACTACTTCGCTGTTCAGGAGGCCTACCTCCAGGCAGACATGGATGGGACGACTTATCACTTCTTGCCACCTCAGAAGTTGAAGCCTCCGACGCCCGCTGACGTGGCAGCGCAAAGCCACTTCGTGGTCGTCCTGCTTTCCGGCTGTTTGACTGGGTTCCCGGGGGCGGCCGACGACGGACGGGGGGGGGGGGGGCTCCAAAGTGCCACAAGTCCATGTGGATGGAGTCCAGAACGGCACCAGGCACCAAGGAGTCCAGAACTGCGCCAACCTCTTCCTGTGCAATGACGGTAGAACACTTGGAGGTAGACATGGTCCTAGTTGGAGCTGGATGTTGCAGGGGCAGGATTTTTTTGGGTGGAGTCTTGCTGAAGATTGCTGGTTTGGTATGGGAGGCGGCGTGCTGGTGGGGTGAGCACAGCTGAAGCAATGGATCAGATTTGCCTTAGCGCATGGCGAGGCTGTCATCGTTTTCATCCAAAGAGAAAGCCGGCAGCGCGCTGCTGTCAAGGCCGGAAGCCGTCGCGGGTCTTCCGGTCTTCCGTTGGACCGCACCTGTATTATAAGGATCATCATTTCACAGTTTTGTTGCTGACCCACTCAACCACTCCACCACCCACTTGGCATCAGATTGGCTAAGGGGTTTGTGCCTGGTAGAAGAAGCATATCCCATGGCGGACTGTGGAGCAAAGCCTTTCGGCAGAAGCACACGTTCCACGTGGTTCAGGCTGCTTTGGACAACTACCTGGACTAAACTTACTAAGCCACAACATGTTCATGAGGCATTTGATGGCATTTGAATCTCCAGCCGCTGTGGAGGTTAGAGAGCGTTCTTCACAACTGTGGGACCCAGTTCCGCTGCAGTGGCTGTAGCAACAGCACGTGCCTTGGAGATACAGCACGCGGTTTGTGCGAGACTCGTTCCTGGGTCAAAGTACGCATGACTGCGCTTACACAGTCCGTTTTGTCAATCACACTGCGGTGGGCCGACTTAACATGAGCAAGTAGGGCAGGGGGAGTAACATCACCCATTTTTCAGAGGGATGATCCAAAGATACACCAAGAAAAACACCTGACGTCCCAATTGAATGGAAGAACCTGCAGGTGTTGTGGATGACAGGAAAGGCCGGCCCATTCCAAGTTCTCGGACCAGACGCCGCGGGCGACGCCCTGCGGCAGCGAAGCAACGACCAGAAGCGGGGTTCGTTAAAGCTTGAGTCTCGTTGGAAGATGTAAAGTAACGAAGTACAATGACGGGACACCTCCCAAGCAAGATGGGTTTGATTCGTTTGTGGGTGATCTTCCGGCGTCCCCTTTGTGGGAGTCTCACTGTTGTACTGGCGGGGGCATCCTTCTTTCCTGTCGCTGAGGATTCCCCTCATCCTGGGTCCGGGAGCATCGCCCGCGCGCCTCGCTGCCTTCGTACAAGAGGGTTTGTCCACCACAGCTCCCTGGTGGATGCCCTTCTACCAGGCAAGATGGAGAGTTTGGGAGGCTGTGAGCACCAGAATGTTCAGTGTTTGGGATGGTTCTTGACTCTTGGTTGATTCGATTTTGCCACGACGTTTTTGTTTTTCAGTGAGTGCTCACATATCAGAAGAAACATGTCGGCTTGAACCTCCAACCGAGAGCGCGACTGGTAGATCATGATTCAGTCCTTGCAGGGGTCTTGTTTAGCAGGGGCTGCATGACTCCCAGATAGGACGAGTTTTGTTTCTTTTTCCCCTTTTTCTATCTTTTTCTGGCCAGTCACTTGAGGCGGAAGTCAGAGCTGACGTGCCACGGCTCATGGAGCAGCTCACTGAGGAGACTCAAGATGATTGTCCCCGCCGGCGGGCGACCTGTGAAAAGGTGGGAGATCTTAAGATCTTAAAGATTCTTAAAGCACATCACATCTTCGATGACTTCTTGGACTGCTTCTTGTTGATCGGAACTTGCAGGATGTGGGAACCTGGCAGAAGAGCTGGGATGACTCCGAGGCGGGCGCAGTCAGCCGCGTCAGACGTCTTGAACATGAAGTCTCGAAGGCGAACGTTTGGTATTTTTGACCCCCGCGATTTTCTTCGAGGTGTTGGAACCACTGACACGCCGTGAAAGAAGTGTAGAGGCGTGCGGCAAGTTGCTACCACTTCTTCCAGCCAACTGAAGGCAGTTTCCACCACTTCTTCCAGCTGCAATTCCATGCAAAAGATACCTGAAACATCCATGTCCCATCCATCCCCTGAGTCACATGACATATACCCCATATCTGCTGGCTCTATCCGGGTTTCCCGGGTCACCTGAACCGGGAACCGTCCGTCGGCGCCGCCCAGGGCCTGCACCTCGCCGTGGGCGCGCGCGAGGCCCAGCTGGGCAGCGGGTTTCTGGTGACGCCCGAGGCGCCCACGTGGCAAGTCACCCTGCGGCCCGACGAGGCGCGGGGCGGACGCCCTGGGTGCGGAGGTGGGTGCGGAAGTGGCCTGGCAAGGTGTGGGAAGATGTGGCAAAGGTGTAGGAGATGATGTATTTTGATACCACTTTCAAGTCGAATATGTTTACATATTGAATACACTCCCTGGAACTAACATGGAAGTGGACAGTGGCCGCTTGGAAGACGACTTTCCAGCCCCCCAAGAGGGGGGTTGTTCCACTTCCATGATTGTTGCAGGGAGGGTCATCTTTGAGTACAGATCATGCTGTTGGATCCAGACAGGGCATGGACCTTTCTGATCTTGTTTCTACTGCCTCCAAGTGTCGCCGTTGCCAAGTCCGTCCCTGGCCGATTCCCTTTCCACTGGGCACCTCAGGTGCTGGAAGACCGTGGCCAGTCTGGCCAGTGCATCTTATTCAAGGGCCAGCGGCTTGGATTTGTGGTGCACCGGTGCACACTCTGCAGATGTGCAGGGTGGATGTGGAACATAGGACCGTGGAAGGCTACTGTCCTCTACAAACAGGTGGTTTTCCACTTCCATGTTAGTGAGTCAAAGTGCAAAAAAAAAGCTTGGCACACTAGCTGCTAGTCAGTACATCCATGTCAATCATACCCTCGACTCGCGTGCGAAAACAGCTGCTGGCAACTAGACTTGGTCTATTTTCGACTCTATTTTCGACTCGGAGGAGCCACGTTGGTACCCATCTTCCCGGTGGAAACCACCATCACTGCCCTTTAGGTACTTCCTTTAGCGACCTCTCCATTGTATTTGTCAAGACTACCGTCATAACTGACTCGTTTCTTCATGATTGCGGATGTCAGAGGTGGAATGAAACAAGTAGCATTCAATCCCATTCTCCTCCAAGCGCCGAGTTTCCCAAGGCCGATGGCTGTTTGGACCTACAGCACGTATACAGCCTTGTCAACCCTCCTCGGATCCCCCCCGCGCAGATCGAGGACGACCCCACCCTGCTGACCCTGCTCTTTCCATCCGCAGGTCCGCCGGTGGTGTCCGCCTGGCTCGCTCGCGCTCGCAGGTTGCCGCGGCGGGACGTTTGGGTGGACGGTGAGGAGTATGCACTGCAGATCCTGGAGCCACCAGCCGTGAGCGGCTCGTTTTGGGAGCAGAGCTGTTGGGGCTGGAGAGACTGCGTGGAGTAGAAAGAGTGAAAAGAACTGCGACGGTCTAGAAAGAATTGAGAAGAATGTAGCAGTAGGCCCTGAAATTAATTTGGCTTTGTTTTCTTTCTTCATCTATCTACTTTGGTTTCCTCTCCCCGTCCTTTTTCATCTCTTTTCTCCTCTTCATCTCCGTCTCAGCTTATCTTGACCATTTTAGTGTCCACAGGTCTTACTGATGCCCGTCTCGAGCATGATTGGCATTGGCGTCGTGCAGTGGAGATTGCTCTGGCGCTGGTGCGGGTGGTGGGGTGGTGGATGGGCCGTCTGCAGGCTGAGCCAGCCTCACAGGCTGTAAATTGACCTGCTGACCTCATCGGGCGATGGGAATCCGCATGCAACCGAATGGAACTTGTGACCTTAAGAACCCCATGACATGACCCACGGGCTTTACTGTAGGAAAATTACCGTATTTAGGGTGAGCGATCCAGAAAAGAGGTCATTCAGGTTCATTCAGGTTCTCTAGGTTTGTAGTGCTTGGGTGATCATTCAGTTTGTCAAAGGCGTGGTCCCCGAGTCCGGCGGGATCAATCAGTGGGTGTCCGGGAGAAGTCCAGATGGTGAAACACCGACTCCAAATGGATGGTGCATTAGCCACGGGTTGATCTCCACCTGTCCAGTGTTCTTCCAGACCCCATGGACACTCCAATCGGATTTCCCAGACCTCACTTAGCCTCCATGTATTGTACTTTTAGTTTTTTTTTTAGTGCGACCTCCCAACCGTTACCAAGGGATTTATCAAAGGAAGTTTAGTTTACGAAACTTCCGTGTTGCGGACATTCAAGAACTGTCCATACACCACTCATCAATACACCACTCATCAACACACCACTCATCATACACCACTCATCATACACCACTCATCATACACCACTGGTCATACACCACTTATCATACACCACTCATCATGCACGACTCATCAATACACCACTCATCATACACCACTCATCAATACACCACTCATCAATACACCACTCATCATACACCACTCATCATACACCACTCATCATACACCACTCATCATACACCACTCATCATCCAGATAACTCTAGTTTCAAGAGCTCTAGCTCCAGTTAGCTCTAGTTTCAAAAGCTCTCTCTGGGTCCAGTTAGCTCCAGTTTCAATAGTTCTAGCTCCAGTTTACGTAGCAGGCGCAGCACTTTGTGAACCTCCATGTGCAGAGTTCGTGGCAGGCACAGCACTTTGTGAACCTCCATGTGCAGAGTTCGTGGCAGGCACCCCACTTTGTGAAGCTTGAGGTGCAGATTTCGTGGCAGGCGCGATCCAAAAGACGTTTTCGAGAGATAGCGGACGCACGAAATGCTGCGTTTTTCAATAGAAAGGGTGGCTCCGAAGCTGGCCAGTCAAGCTTTGCGGAACGATGTGATCATGGTCGGATCATGGTCGGAATCGTCCCTCCATTGTGATTAGAGGTTTCAGTTGTTTCTTGATGTGCAGATTTCGTGGCAGGCACAGCACCTCGTGAACCTCCATGTGCAGATTTCGTGGCAGGCGCAGCACTTTGTGAACCTCCATGTGCAGATTTCGTGGCAGGCGCAGCACTTTGTGAACCTCCATGTGCAGATTTCGTGGCAGGCACAGCACTTTGTGAACCTCCATGTGTAGATTTCGTAACAGGCACAGCACCTTGTGAACCTCCATGCGCAGATTTTGTGGCAGGCACAGCACTTTGTGAACCTCGAGGTGCAGATTTTGTGGCAGGCAAAGCACTTTGTGAACCTCCATTTGCAGATTTCGTGGCAGGCACAGCATCTGTGGAGCTGGAAGCTGAGAACTGGCGACTTTTTAGTGCAAATCTAGTGCGCGGAGTATCTGCGGAGCTGGAAGATGAGAACTGGCGACTTTGTAGTACAGCTTTAGTGCGCGGAGCAATCTGTGGAGCTGGAAGCTGAGAACTGGCGACTTTGTAGTACAACTTTAGTGCGCGGAGTATCTGGGGAGCTGGAAGATGAGAACTGGCGACTTTCTAGTACAACTTTAGTACGCGGAGCAATTTGTGGAGGTGGAAGGTGAGAACTGGTGACTTTGTAGTACAACTTTAGTACGCTGAGCAATCTGGCGAGCTGGAAGCTGAGAACTGGCGACTTTGTAGTACAACTTTAGTACGCGGAGTATCTGGGGAGCTGGAAGATGAGAACTGGCGACTTTGTAGTACAACTTTAGTACGCGGAGCAATCTGTGGAGCTGGAAGCTGAGAACTGGCGACTTTGTAGTACAACTTTAGTACGCGGAGTATCTGTGGAGCTGGAAGCTGAGAACTGGCGACGTTGTAGTGCAACTCTAGTACGCGGAGCAAGCTGTGGAGCTGGAAGCTGAGAACTGGCGACTTTGTAGTACAACTTTAGTACTCGGCTGAGTGATCTCTATTTTGTATTTCGCAAAAATGCATGAACAACGTTTTTTCCTGCGAGACAGTTGACGGTGGTTGCTTCGCTTTCGCTCCATTGGTCGGTTCCAACTTGTTTTGTCAAAGAATGTCAAAGAACATCGCAGCTCGGCGAATCAGCCTGCCACATGCCCATTTCCTATAGGCTTATTCTTTTGGAAACTTCCGCCGCCTGCTTGCCCGGGAACTACTTGTATTATATAATATGACTTAGTTTGTTTTTGATATTCCTAGACGTCTTTGGCCATTTGTGGGGGTCCAGGAGCGCCTGTCCCAGCAGCTCCGAGCCGCCGCGCTCGCGCGCGGCGCGGGCAGCGCGGCTGGGTGGGTGGAGCGGGTGAAGGCCATGGCGGCCGCCCTGGCGGCGCCGAGGTACGGGGCAGACAGGGTGGCGATGCGGCCTCGGAGATGCGGAGAACAGAACTGGGCAACGGAAGAAAGCAAAGAGATGAAATAGAACCCATACTAGGTCAATGGTCAATGTTTTTGAGCAAAAAAGCTACTATTGTATGATACTTGTTCTATATGTTGGTGAAACATGTTTTAAACAAATTGCCACGACATGACACGAGAACATGTGTGTGAAATTATGTGAATATGTTTCCTCCCGTTCATTGTGCAGTAGACGTATGTAGACGTATTCTGGGACTTTGGAACAGTTTTTCATCCCCATGACCATATCCTCTATAAAATCAGGGGGGTTATCGTCTCTATAAAACGTTTTATGCTCTCCTTTACTGGGCGGGTGGGGTGCCTATTTTATAGAGATTTGACTGTGTGTGCAGACTTTGCTTGAGGATGCTTGAGGCTGCTGAGATTGGCTACTTTAATTGAGGCATACAGCTGGTTCAAAAAGACGTGACGTGATTTGCTTTTACATGCTTTTACCAACATCATCCAACATCTATCAAGATCAGTTGTGTTATCAGCAGGAGCGTGACAGGCTTCAATTCCTGAACATTCCTAAAACAAAGATTTACGGAGATGGAACCCACATCTTAACTTAGAGATAATAATTAGAGGAATTGTTCCAATACGGGCCATGGCGGCCGAAACTCCTACACCGCCTAAATGTCCACCTGGCTGTCCGAAGATTTGTGCGCCTGGTCATGAAATGGCGCATAATGGCGCGGAATTCACATGCAATGCACATTTCAGAAGTAGGATGAAGTAGGATAAAGATTCGTCATAGCTGTGGTTTCAGAGTTGAGGCCAGCAGGAACTGCATCGCAGACATGGACACGCCAGCTTGGAGTGCACGACGCGGGCTGTGTGGTGGCTTGACAGCTGAGCTAATCTTTGGATATCAGGTGATCTTGAGTTGTTTTATGTGGTTTGTGTCTTTGATATTCTTTGATTGTCTTATGATGTCTTATATTTTTGGATTGCTGAATCATGGATGATCACAGTGAATCTAAGTTGCTCGATGTCTAATGAAGTCAAGTCGCCCATCTTGGCATTATTCGTATTGGGACGATGGTACGTGCCTGGATTGACAATTTTGGTTTGATAGTTTTCTTTGTTGCGCAATATTTGGCAGTTTGTTGCTGGTCTACGTTATTTGCTTTATCTTTGATATTTTTTTGATTATTGTATCATTTCAATATAGTTTTTCTTTTACCATCCCAGGAAAACGTGGGGAAGTACCAACGAGATCAGCCGTCTGGTGAAGACCTTGAAAGTCCCGAAGGCAAGAACTTTACTACTTGAATCTACTTGAAATGGAAGAAAATAAAGAGAAAATACACACTGATTGAAATGGAAGAGAATTTGAAGCCTTGTTCATCCTTGCTTTATCATGTTGTATTCTGTCCCAGATACAAAACATGACTCCAGGTCGACAAGGACAGCGCGCCTGCTGTGGCAGGGAACTTGGGATCCTTTTACGTGCTTTCTTCATCTTTCTGGGAATAGCTCAAGAGAGCAATTTGGAAACACCAAGCATTTGCAGCAAGTGGATGTGATTCGCATGTTGGCCGTTTCCTGCGGAATTCTGAGCATATCCCAAGCCCCAAGCTATCTAACTTTCTGTCTTTCAAAAGCCATGCCGCCTCGTAAGCGCTTGGACACGACTACAAGCGTTGATGAGGAATTGACTCTTGACACTTCATAGCCGGGCGCCGGGGAAGCTGCAAAAGAAACAACAAAACATGATAAAGACATATATAGCTTTCTCAATAAATCTTAAAGGTGGACACAGGATATTGCAGGACAATGGAGGTAAGCGTGCAAATAGTGGTCTCTTGTTAAAGAAGCTGTCTATAAAATCAGAACAATTACCCTCAGTCTGAACATAAAAAGGTCTTTCCCTGGAATTCCCTGGAAAGATGGTTGTGCATCCTCCTGGCGCATTGCCACAAACATAATATATTACTATGACTTTCTAGAACACTGGAGTGTGGTCCTTGTGATTTTATAGAAGGGTGTTTGTGTAAATACATTCTCCTGGCATATTGTCAGCATAGTCATGCATAGTCTAAGAACGTTTTTCTAGCACATTGGAGCCTGGCTATTGTGATTTTATAGAAGGCTGATTAAGGCTGTAGCTTTGCTTGACACAGCCAAGGTGGTTCCGTGCTGAGGGGCATACACGGTTCCTGGCATTTGTGGTGGAGATGTTAGCTTGGGAATGTATCCTGACAGTTTGAAGATATTTGAAGAGTGATTGTTTTGGCTGTCAGATGTCTTCACAGTGTTTATTTTTGCGTATTTTTGCAATCTTTTGCCCCGTATTGTTTCAGAGTTGAAGGCACACGCACTTGGCACTGCCTAGATCTTTTTGGTGCTTCGCGTAGAGTGGGGTTCCTCGGCATCACATTCTGTTTGACATTCTATTTTTTTAGACATTTGATGATATTTGATTGTTTGTTTGTATCATTTACTGAAACATTGCTGGCAGGAAAGCCTGGTCAAAAGCAGGATATCTTGCAAGGAACTTTGATATTGCGCTCGACCATCACCATGATTTAACTACGTTCCGTGGCACATTGCTATTACTTCAATGGCTTCTGGAGCGGCTCAACTTGACGTGAAATTGATTGAAAGTGTTTAGAACATTGATGTTGAAGCATGTTGAACATTGTTGAACCGTGGTTAAGGTTGTGTGTGGCGTATTTTTTCACATGGAAATTGAGGTTGGTACCTGGTGGGGCGGTCATCGCAGGGCCGCCGTGCAGTCTGTTGGTAGCAGCCTCGCAAAGCATTCACTGCCGAAGCCCTTCATGCTTGCTGGGAAACACCCGCCATCTTTGTGTACGCTTGTCAAACCGCATTTGGCAAAATTTAGCGGCTTGTTTGCAGAAAGATAATGAAAGATGCAACATGATACAACAATCATCAACAAACATTGGAAAGTGGATGAAAGCGGGTGCTTTGAGTTTGTGATGCAGTAGTTTCTGTGGGTTTGCACGCGAGGCCATTTGCTTGGAGCTTGTGCACAGGCCAGGGATGAACAGAATATAAATCATTATAAATCTATATGATACAATAGTATATTGATGTATATTGCATCATCATGTGTGCCCGCTCCGTGTTTTGTATGTTTTGGCAGGGTCCGGAGCGACCTACGAATTCTGTTGGAACAACCGTCGAGCTCATGGGGATTCAAATTGCCGTTTATGGTGAAGCTCAGCAAGACATGGTCCATGTGCCTTCGGTTGACTCAAGCCTATTTTGAGTCGTTTAGATCTTGATGAATCTTGTAGACAACCAATCAAATCAAACAAATCAACAAACAAATTTCATGACTGCGCCGGCAGATGAGGCAAAGGGTCACCACGTGGATGGGTTGCTTCGATCATGACTTGTTGAAGTGTACACATTTGCTGGTGAATTGGAGGACCGATGGCGCTTCTTGTCTTTTTGATTCTTTTTGTAAAGAGTGTTTAATTATTTGATATTATTTGACTTCCTCATGGTCAGGGGATGGCACTGTTTGGCACGCAAGATGACGAGCAAAAAGAAGATTGTTATCCAGGACCTTTTTTATTTTACAATGATGATTGTGATTGTTTTGGTATGTTTTGGTTGACCGTTGTCCTGGACTATTGTAATCAGGCCCGCTTTGAAAAGCGACAGCTGAAGCGCAAGACCAAGAAGGCTTGCCCTGACAACCGTGTTTTTGCCAGACATGTTCCAAATTTTCCATAGTTGTTCACTGCGGGGGCACGTACCATGTCAGACCTACTACAAGAAGCACGACAACGGTTCCTGGTCTGGTGGGCAGCACTTGCCTACAACTGCTGCTTATACATCTCAGTTCTGCAAGGCTATGCTCAAAGCATGGCAAGGATGACATCTGGGATGCAATCCTTTCCCCTGCAGTGCCAAGTTGCTGCGAATGTTTTTGTGCAGAAGGTCACAGAACATGTGACAACAGTTTGATCATGTGTTTTTCGTGGACACAGGCAAAAAGTTTGCTATACATATAGCTTTTGTATGCCTGTGGCTGCCTTGCCTAATCATTCGGACGTCGGCAGCTTTCGTTTTGTAGTGATATTTGTTGCAGCGTGACATAGCTCAGCTGTGTTCCAGTTGTACAGTTTGGCAGAAAGCCAACACATTACCGTCCACATGGGATCACGTGGGATAGCAACAGACTGAAGCGTGGCAATTTGGACCAGCAAAGAGTTGAGAAACGATGAAAAACGTGTTGAGAGACGAGACATAGTATAGGATAGAATGAAGATGTATGAAGATTCCTTGATTTGGCCATTTCAATCCTATTTCATGCTATTTTACTTGAAGATCTTTTCAACTATATAAACAAAATACAGTAAGGCCGCGGTGGCTGACAGTGCTGGCCCAGGGACAGGACCGTGCAGCTGGAAAATCTAGTCTGGGCAAGGGTCCTCCAGGCCGTTTTATAGATGTCTTTGTGGTTGTGTTATATATTTGATATTATTTGATAATATTTGGTCCTGGATATATAAGCATACTGTACATGTTGCTCCTATT